TTAATTTGTACCACTGTGGTGATGATGACAGGGAGTTAGAGATGTTAAACATCGTAACAGCATTGTAACAACTTCGTATCACATGGTGTGAGTTAGTAGTTTGATTGGTAACATCGACCTTCCGTCTTTTACCCTTTCACCCCTAGGTAACTTGAGTAGACTCTACCATATATTCATCTGGATGAGTCTATTATGGTCTACAGTGGTGAAAGGGTTAAATATATCCTGTTGCCTAATTGTGTTAATTTTTAAATCACCGAGCGGAAGTCTATACTGTCCTGCCGACTTCTGACGGATAAAATGAACGATAGGAAATTAAGAAAATCAGCATTAAGAACGTGCATACTTTCTTTCAGCCTTTGATGTTGGAAATCGTCGTTAATTTGTTGCTGTCTATATCAACCTAACGACTGGAAAATCCATGTTTCATATGTAACGTTAAGTAAATGAAATTATTCACATCATTAAGTTCAGTCCTTGATAATTATATCTAATTGTAATTATCTTGATGATGTTTGTGCTATATTTTTCTGGTTGCTATTATGAGTCACAAGCTATGTAACACAAATAGATGCTTTTATATTTGGCTAGGTTGAGTAGGGGGTAAGGTGTTAGGGGGTAGGGGGAAAAGTGGTTTACAGGGTAAGGGAATGGGTGGCTGTTTATGGTAGGGGTAAAGGGGTAGGATGGTTGTTCATGGGAGGGGGTAAGTGGGGAGGGTGGCTGTTTATAGTAGGGGGGAGGGGGTAGGGTAGTTGTTCATAGGAGGGGGTAAGTGGGTGGGGGAACGGGTGGCTCAGTATTGTAGGGGTGGGGAAAAGAGTGACTTTATGGTAGGGAGTGAGGGAGCGGGGGAAAAGAGTGGCTGTTTATGGCAGGGAGTGAGGGGGTGGGGATTAGAATGGCTATTTATGGTAGGGGTGGAGGGCGCAGGGGAAAGGGACGTTGTACATGGGAGGGTGGGGAAAGGTCAGCATATTGTCATTAGGGATAAAGGGGGTCCAGGTGTAAAGATAAAGTATATGTTTAAACATATATAGAGGCTTGGTATGTTTAAATATATATAGAGATTGGGTGTGTTTAAATATATATAGAGGCTGGGTGTGTTTAAATATATAGATAGGCTGGGTGTTGGACAGACAGTAGGTGCTTTATAATCGTTATTAAGGAGCTGGAGTTTTGAGACAAGTGAACATTTTGTAATTATCATTGGAAATGGTGTGATGAAATGATTGGGATAGGCTGGTGTATTAAAAATAATTTCGTGGAGTCTCCAACTTTGTTTCTTTATAATGTCTGTCAAATGTCTGTTGAAAAGCATGTCTGGATGTGCTCGTCAAAAGTCAACAAGGTAACAGTTAGCTGTAAGACCTAGAATGCCTACACTGAAATGATGGCCGCCCTTTTATAAACGGTTTTATGAGATTATATATGTTCTACCATGTTTAACAAGACATCGAAGCCTTATAGTTATGTCTGTGTCGACACTTTGAACAAATAATTTGTACGTACATTTGTTTACTTTCATAAACCAATATGCCTATAAATGACTTGGCTCGCCTGAGTGTTACGCCCTGTCAACCTTTCTCACATAATTAGACTGAACCAGATCAAAGGAAGACAATGCCAAAATTTGAATTGAAGGGGTGTTGGTATGAAGCGTTCGTACAGTTTGAAAACATAAATTATCCCAAGTAATTTGACTTCGATTGTAGAAAACAACAAAAGGTGAAGAGGCGTAATCTTTTGTTTACAATGTTTCCATTTAATTACCATCAGGATTAAAACGTGAAGGCGTGACTCAGACAAGTCGCTAAAATTCCAGCTATTTCTCAGGTGAACAGAAGTATTTCATCAAAGGTTTTGTTCATGGAGCATAAATGAATGATTGAGTTACGCATAAAACGTGTTCATTGTAGTACAATGTATTGACACATAATCATTATAGGTATACCAATGTATCACAAAGTTGTTATTGGTTTAGTTCAAACATAGGTTATAAGTGTTGTACGTAGTCTTGGGAAAGGTTGGTCGTCGATGACCAGTATGTAAAAATGTCCTACTGTAGCTGTGTACATAGAGCCGAGGTTTGAATACCTGCCATGGGCATTAAATTGGTCCAGCCCTAGCTGGTAAATGATATTTGCTAAAACTGAGTGTTTTTTGTCCAAAAACTGCGCTAGTTCAAACCTGAATGAAACAAAGTCACTGTGACCTAGTTTTGTTGGGATACCCTTAGACAGACTAAAAAACCCAGCTGTTCAACCGTCTACCGATTGTTTTGTCAAATCTAAAAAGATGATCTGAAGTCCTCGTATATTTTGCTGTTAAGAAATGTTATTGTCTGTGATAAGCCTTGGTGTGCTAAGGTACGCAATAAAACCACCTGTTGATTGTCAAATCTGGAAATATAAGCTCCTCATTGAAGGTGAAGTTAAGAAATAAATATTTATTACCTGTCTAAGAATATTTCAAAATACCATTAGTTTCGGCTGTTCTATGTATTTAATTAATTGAATTTAAACAAAAAGTTATTCAGATGAAATGAAATTTGCTTATTTTAAATGACACATACGAAGTTTAAAAATCTGAATTTTCCTTTCAAAATTAGGAAGACTTGTAATTGGCAAGTTGATCAAATGACTTTAAGCTAGGGCCTCAAGGCTTATTGCTATGTAAAATTAGCGTTTGCCACGAAAAGAAGTGAGCCTGTGAAAATAGCCTTACTTTGCAAAAATGCAGTGTTTAGTGCAAGTGTTGGTACCTGTACCAACTCTTATGCAATGGGTTCCTTGTTAACTCATTCACCCCTGGAATTTTATAATGAACTATTCCAACCTTTGAATTGGAAGAGTTCAAATGTGTTTTCAGGGGTGTAAATGTGCTAATCTGCAGCCTTGACCTTTGAGGTTTCCTACTGAGGTTTCTTGTGTTGTACACGGACCTGGCTGTTATACACATGAAGACGTCCGTCTGCATGTTACCTGCAACCTTGTGCATGTTACCTGAAACCGTTACTCGTTACTTGTGCATCTGTCTTATTACATATCCATCTGTCATTACCTGTCAGGTTTTTCCCAGCAATTGAATCATCACACTGGTACTTAACGCAGGTAAAACTGTCATCGTGAACTTTGCTGCAGGTTGAACCCTCGGGGCTAAATATATACAAAACCTTCCACTTCCGATTTCAGATTGTTAAATAAATAAATAAAAAAATATGTATATATATATATTTAAACGTATCCTGAAATATCATCATGCAACTTTTTACTGTTGTAAATGATTGATGTGAGATTGATGTCCTTATTTGTGGGACTAGCGGGTGGGCCGAAGACACACACCAGTATTGCCTGACAATGAATACGTAATCTGCCCCTAACACCTGAAAGTGGTTGTAATGATTACGTCCTCGTTCACAGTGTACGTTAAAAGGTATATGGATCTGTGATACACAGGTGATGAACACAGGATCTGAAATCAAAGGGAAGCGGATACGTCTGTGTAGATTTGGATATGTCTAACGTTTACTCTGCACAATTTTGGTCAGCTTCTTGTCAATTCGTTATTTAATTTTCCTTGAATAATTGCCATGGTAACAGAAGTTTCTAATTGTAAAAATTCAGCCTGAAAAAGAAAAAACTTACTATAAAGGAAATTTAATATCAAAGTATCATTTTTTTCATGGAGTTCTCCAAATTCTCATGTAAAATTCTTGTGTTCTCAATTTTGCGGATGACAAAACTTTTGCCTCCTTTATTAGGTGAAGCTTGCCTAATTTGGTAATAGATGAAGGTTTTTTCCAGTGTTTGGGATTGTCTGCAAAATTAACGTGTTATAGATTGTTTTATTGTGACTTTTTGTTAACTCCAAGGTTATTTTGCATTTTATTTACATTATGTATTTGATCATAATTGGATGTTGAGTTTTTCCCTTTTGGTGGAGTTTTTTTTCTGTAATGAGTACCATATCTTCGTTTTAGAAGAAAATTGATTTAACAGTTTTTTTCCCTTTACTAATTAGTAAGCAATTTGGCTTTAGTTACGATCTTTCTAGTACAAAGTGATAGCGTAAGTAGTTATATCGGGTAGTGTGAAAGGTAAACAAGGAGATACAATCAGACATAACCTAGAAGATTGGGTCATACTCTCGTAATGTGGCGTAATTCTAAAGAAAAAGATTACGAACACATGATTATGTCTTCAGATTCACATCTTCACACAGAGTGCTTGCTCAGTGAATTATAAAATAATTGAGAATCGTTATTTGTGAAAATTTGTGAAAATTAGCTCAGCGTGTAGAAAGTGAACCAATATGTCTGGATTATCTCCCCTGAGTACAGATGTAAGAGCAAACACTCTGCATATTATTCTTGTCATGTTTGAGCCAGGTGGTCTTCGCGATTACTTCCCCGTATACACATTGGTAGTAACGTGTCACTTTTCACTCCAGCATCTGTTTTATAACCTTCTTGTGTGCGTTCTACTACAATATCAGATCTTCCAGTCAATGACATGACAGTTTCTGAAAAAATAATTTCAAGTTTTATCCAGGTGATTTTAAGAAATAAAAGACAGTAAATTTACATTTTGTGCTCAAAATCTGAGACATGATATGGGGTATTAAACCCTTTTTTCATATAATGAACTGACCAAAAGAACACTTTAAATGGACAGAGATGAAAATAGTGGTTGACAGTGTGACAGTCATATAAGTAATATTTTAAAGTTTGTGTATAAGTTTCCGATTATATGTCGGATACTTCCTATAGAAATACTTACAGTGATGCAGCAGTTTGACAGAGGAACATTTATATATAGATATGGTTAGATATACATCTGTTTTAATTCATTCACCCCTGAAGACACATTTGAACTCTTCCAATTCAAAAGTTGGAATAGTTCATTATGAAAATTCAGGGGTGAATTAGTTCCAAGACCATATCGAACTTGATAGTAGATCTACCTTTACTTATGTATGCTTATCTCTATGTGTTTCAGGCATACCTGCGGGAGGGCGTGGCATTGCAACAACTGGGACAGCATGGAGACGCGCTGGCCGCTCTCTCCTCTGGCCTTGCTCAGGACTCGGGCAACGCACAGCTACTGACAGGGCTGGTGGATACCGCCTTAAAGTCCCCTCTCAAAGGTAAATTTATACACCAATAAAAATTATAAAAATCTATCACAGAATTAAAGATTTGTGAAAAATAAGCAGTATGCAGTGTTGATAAAATTTAAGGGAGATAACTCCTCCTGGTAAGTCTATGTGTCTCCCTTTACTTAAATACTGATGAATATTAAATTTACAAATAAACATCTTAAACATAAAAAGTCTGCACCAAATTTCATTTTGGCAGTTATTTACTTAAGGCTCTAGAATACAACAAAAAAATTACCTTCTTTACAAAAGATTTCAGACAAAGAATTTTACAGGATGTTTTTATGATTTACAGAAAAATTGGGGCCAGTATTCCACCAGCTACAGAAGTTAAAACTCAACCAAAGTCCATTTGTTATCATCTCTGTGATTGGTCAGGAGTTACTGGCATCGGGTCACTACAGTGCCTCCGTGACAATGTTAGAGGCTGCGCTGACCATCGGAACCTGCAGCCTCAAGCTTCGGGGGTCGGTGTTCTCCGCCCTCAGCAGTGCGTACTGGGGCATGGGCAAGATTGACGGGGCAATCACTAACATGCAGCACGACCTTTCTGTGGCTAAGTCATTGGGTAGGTAAAACTACAGCTGGTCATCTCTAGTGGTCACCCATAGTGACCAATTATAAATTTACGAAGGACTGAGCTGTGAAGGTCATAAGAAAGGTCAACTGTTAAAGATCATCTCTAAAGGTCATATGAAATGCTAATTTGTGAAGGTCACAATCAGAAGTCACTTGCAAAATAGGATTTTTTGATGGAAAAGATAACTTATTCGCTAAATCAAGGGAATCAATATTTTCCATTTGAACCTAACTCCGGAACCCTGAGTTAATCACGTTTTTCATGATAATTGTTTCTCGTTCACTGAATCTACAGAATCAATATTATATATTTGAACCTTTCTCTGGACCCCTGAGTTTATTATGTGAAGGTCTCTCTGTATCCCCAGGTCCTTTGTGTCGACTGTATAACCTCCTTGTCAAACACTTCAATAAATGGTTCAGTTCTCAGATGTACCCGCATTCTGAAGCGTAAAACTTAAGTAAGATATATCAAACTTTACTGTTGTCATCATTATCATAATGCTTTCGGGCAAATGTTTCATTTCTCAAACCACAGACCATAAAAAGGTTACAATTCACTTAATCTGAAGTTTGAAATGTAAAGCCTGCCCAAGGGAGTTAGCGTAATGGTCTAAATGGCAGGAGGTCTTTATAGGCAGGTAGTAAAATTATAGAAGGAAGTAATTCAGATATTCTTTGGATAGTAGTTATAGACAGGTTTTCTGTTAAAACAGGTGCTGTTTATGGAGAGGTTAAGTTAATTTATAGAAAGAAAAAACCATGGAAGATCTTAACTTATTTACCCCTAAAATTTCATAATGAACTATTCCCTCCTTTGAATCGGAAGAGTTCAAATGTGTCTTCAGGGGCGAATGAATCTATAGGCAGACGGTCTTAATACACAGGTGGACTTTGACGGACAAGAACTTTTCTCTTTACCATTTAAAAAATCTCAATTGAATTTATTCTGATGTTGAGTTTGCTGCTATTGAAGAGTGGAACAGAGTTTGAGATTTTAATTTTCATATTTTGTGTAAGGTAAAAATATCGAGTGCATCATACGTCATTTTATGTAGGACAAAAAAATTGACCACACAATGATTTGTCATTGTATTTATTCTTCAATTGTCCATTTTTAAAATAATTTTTTGACAAAGCCTCTATTTAAAATCATTTCTTGTACTAAGTTTAATTAGGTACACCTACTGATAGTATGTATACTTACGTAGGTTAATTCAGGGTAGACCTTAATGTACCCTACATCACGATACCGTGTACTACCCGAGCGTTAAAATGGCCCGATGGTCCCGCAGATAAAACCAAGTCAACCTATGGTCGATATAATTCAAATTAACATTGACGTGTGGTATTTGTTGAGAGGGAAAGTTGTGAGTACGTAAGTAACGTGAATTCTATACAGGACCATTGACCGTGTTAGACACGCTGCCGTTCTTATTGGTAAAAACAGGTCAACTGTATACTAGTAATTTGAATGTCCATCTTGTTGATAAAAACGTGGTTGTATCAATGAAATGTGTAATCTGTCGTTATAATGTGTTTCTGTACTTATGATAGTAATACTGTAAGTATTTCCAATCCATATTTAGGGGTAGAATAGAAAAGTTGAAGGGGGGCTAGTACATTTTGGTAGAGGTATGAAAATATCTGTTTACCTTGTTTTGAAGTAGAAACTTCAGTTTTTGCATGGCAACAATATAATAAAAGAGACTTTTTTGCAAAATTTAATAATTCCTTTTTACGTTAATTACTGTTAGATATACTTAAGCATAACTTTCATAAGATTCAGATTTACATATATCTCAATGCAGCAACTTATACAAATTGTACTAATTATTAAATAAATTTCAAAATTAGCAGAAGAGAGCATCAAAATTATCACATTTCTTTAACACTTAACTTGTTCCATAAGAACCTATTTGCATAAATCAGAAATCTTTATTTTTTCCCCCCAGAAATTCCAGAAATGTTTGATACCCTAAGGTACCTATAGAGAATGACTCGGGGACAATAGGGAGCTAATTCTTACGTAATGAGGTCCCTATTGTCGGCTCTGTTAAAATCACACAGATGTTTAAACATTAATCTTATTACTCCGTAAACACAGGCATTCTTGAGAAGAATTCGTAGAATGCTTTACAAAGCACGAAGTCTGACTTTGCATGAGAGCAAAAAATAATCTGTTTTAAGGATATTATCTGTAGAAGTCTTCCCTTTAAAAACATTCTTATTTATGTATACAGTTGTAAGTTCCACAGTTGAAATAGAGCAAGAAAAATACTCCTTTAAATACTGTCAATAGAGGAATACATTTCATAAAATATTGACATTCCACTTTAAGTCGCGCTGAAAGGATGTTAATACTCCTTTGTAAGGATAATGTACATCGCAGAGTCCAGTACTATTTTGCCTTGGTGTGAAAGATGAGGTAAACTGACTTCGTGTTCATACACCTCTGATCTCCGTAAACAGAGCAACCGAGCCATGAAAACTGATAGACATTGAGGCCGTACTAATCGGGTTGGGATCAGATGGAGGTGCGATAACTAGCTGACATGTACCTGTACACACACCTCCAGTCCATTGTTTTTATTTGTGCTGGTGTAATGTGGCTGGGTAATGTAACAAATAGGTAGCGCCTCTTTTTACTACACGAGCAGACGACAATACTTTTCTTTGATACTGATGTCGATAGGAGTGATCACTTCATACGCTAGTTCAGACCCGTAATACAAATGACGACTTATTTCCGTTTTCCTGTTCGGGGATATAAATAAATCAAAATGTATCTTTCTTTGTTTAACCCTTTCACCCCTATATAACTTTGGTAGACTCAGCCATGCATTGATATGGACGAGTTCATTATGGTCTACAGTGGTGAAAGGGTGAAATATTCTTTTGAATATATAGGCAAAAGGTTTCGGTGGTGACAACTTTTGGACAAAACTTTTGACAATGGTGAAATTCTAGATGTTCGTTTGACTATTTAAGCCTGTCTGACACCTGTCATTAAAAACCATTGATATTGTACTGTCATGTTGTACTCAGTTCCACTCTACGATAATTGAATCAATTTGCTTTAAAAGTTTGTGTCCCTCAAACAAATGTTATAGAATTAAAGGGTTGAACTGTTCAGTAAGTTTTTAAAACCCTTTTTCTCATCTGAAAAATCAATCAGGAATTGTCTACATTTTTTTCCAAATTAAATGTTCCTAATAAAGACACTTGAGTTAACCATTGTAATGTTTAAAGTTTATTGATTGTTCTTTAAAAAAGAAAAAAACACGAAGAATTTCTGAAATTCTTACTTTGGGTGCACAGTAGATTTTGAGATTAGGATAATCTAATGTGAGTCAGCTCTGTGTTCAATACCTTTGGAAGTGTTCGATTAGAGAAAATTTGACAACAGAGAGCTCACGTTTAACGTGATATAGTCTTTAAACAATTACCTTAATTCAATATCCTATTATAAGATCAGAGCAATGTATAAACATTTGAAATTGAGATTTGTTAAAATGTCAAACGAGTTTACTGCTCACCTGCTCAATTAAAGCTGAAAAGGTGCGACACATTTGTACTTTTTTATGGTCTTGTAAATATAGAAAAGTCAAGTACCGGTAATAAAATTTGAATAATATATGATACAATGATTTTTAGGTACATTTAAGACACGCGTACCAGATTAAAGCGATATAACATCGCTTTATTTTACTCTTCAAAAATCATGGTTATTTAAGTGACCAAGCACTTATCATATATCACTTTGTCCGAAATTGTTGAAACGCAGAATATGAAAATTATGGTACCTCATCCGGTAAACAATACAAGATTTGTGCAGGAAAAAGAAAAAGTAAACTTAAGTGAACTGTAGCATTTTATGTGTAAAAAAGCGTTTCAGGAATACAGACCTTTAGTCTGTGATAACTGTGGCATGAGCTTGATAGTGAAATATGAAAGATGTAAAAAGGAGCTACCCTTTTAAATATATAGATAGGATAATGAAACTATCATACCCAAATTATTAAGATATAAATCTTAATGCATTGTAGCTTATTTGAAAAAAAATTGGTGAATTTTTAAACCCACATTATTTATGAAATGTCTTTTGAAGAAATTAACAAGTGTATTTTTACTTTCAGGTGACTTAGATGGTGAATGTCGGGCTCACAGCAATTTAGGCTCGGCCTACTTCTCCAAAGGTCACTACAAAGAGTCTTTGACCAATCACAGATTCCAGCTTGCCCTTGCAATGAAACTGAAGCATCGGGATGCAGCTGCCGCAGCGCTTGGGAGTCTTGGGCACGTGTACACAGCAATAGGTGACTACCCCAATGCGCTCAACAGCCACAAACAGTGTTTATTCCTCATGAAACAATGTCACGATAAATTGGCAGAGGCTCGTGAAATAGGAAATGCAGGTGCAGTGTACTTAGCGATGGGAGAGTTTGCTCACGCAATAGAATGTCATAACAAACATTTAGAAATTGCCAAAAGTTTGAAAAATTCGACGGAGGAAGCCAGAGCGTACAGTAATCTCGGAAGTGCCCATCATTATAGACGAGACTACGAAAAAGCGATGTCCTTTCACAAACATGTGTTGAGAATCGCCGAATCAAAGACGGACCAAGTATTAGAGGCGCGAGCCTACGCAGGTCTTGGTCATGCAGCACGTTGCATGCAGGACTATAGCACAGCCAAAAGTTACCATGAAAAACAGTTAGACAATGCCCTTCAGACCAAGGACAAGGTCGCAGAAGGTCGTGCTTGCTCAAATCTTGGAATTATATATCATCAGTTGGAGGACCACAAATCGGCTCTAAAGTTACATGAAGTGCATTTAAAAATAGCCAAGAATCTTGGTGATCGTGCTAGTCAGGGTCGTGCATCTGGTAACCTTGGTAACGCGTTTTGTGCTATGGGGTCATTTGAACAAGCGATCAAATACCATAGACAGGAGTTAAACATTTCGTCTGAAGTGAATGACCGCCACTCGGAGGGTACAACCCACGGTAACCTAGCCGTGGCATACCAGTCTATAGGGAGCTACGACAAAGCCCTACAGCACTACACCGCACACCTTAGTATCTCCCGCGAACTTAAAGACACAGTCAGTGAGGCCAAGGCCCTCTGTAACCTTGGCAACTACCACAGTTCACGTGGAAACCATGGAAGTGCTGTGAAATATTTCGAGGAATACCTGAACCTTGCTCAGGAGCTATTAGATTCCGAGGGTGAGGCGAAAGCCTGTTTTAGTCTGGGATATGCTCATTTCGCACTTGGTAACCATTTGGAGGCTGTGAGATATTACGAACAGGATTTATCAATCGCTAGGGAACTTAAAGACCAGATGGGCATTGCCAGAGCCTACTGTAATCTGGGGCTGGCCCATACTGCACTTAAAAACTTTGAGGATGCTTTGGAGTGCCAGAAAAAGTGTTTAACAATGATGAAAAGCATGAAAAACACCAAGGGAATTTTCAGGGCACTCGGCAATATTGGTGATATTACTCTAAAGACTGGTGAAACTGCAGAAGCAATCAAAATTTATAACCAGCAACTACTTCTTGCCAAACAATGCAATAGTAAGGACCTCCTAGGCGGGGCCTACGGGGCCCTGGGGGCGGCACATCGGGTGTTGGGGCAATTTGATAAGTCCCTTGGTTATCACACGCAGGAACTTTCTATACGACAGGACATGAGTGACCTACGCGGTGAATGTCGTGCACATGGAAACATCGGAAATGTTCATATGTCACTTGGGAATTATCAAAATGCATTTAAGTGTTACGAAGAACAACTTGAGAAAAGTCGGGAGCTACAAGACAGTGCTTTAGAGGCGCAAGCCTCCGGTAACTTAGGCATCACTAAGATGAACATGGGAATGTATGAGGACGCCATTGGTCAGTTCGAGCAGCAGCTAGCCATGCTTGAACAGGTCAATGGCATTTTCAGTAACCATGACAAAGGTCGAGCTCTTGGTAACCTTGGTGATTGTTACGAAGCACTTGGAGATTTCGAAGAATCTATAAAATGTCACAACCAGTATTTAGCAATATCACAGCAGACGAACAATCTCTCTGACCAGGACAAAGCATACAGAGGTCTGGGTAATGCCCACAGGGCAGTGGGAAACCTACAACAAGCCCTGGTGTGTTTTGAGAAGCGACTTGTCGTTGCTCATGAACTCAACAGTTGCACAGCCAAGGCCTCGGCTTACGGAGAGCTTGGTTGTTTGCACAGCCTGCTGGGTAACTTTGAGCAGGCCATCGCATGTCTGCAGCATCAGCTGACGATTGCCACGGAGATGAACGATCAGATGTGTGAAGGCGAGGCTGCGTGTGGCCTGGGCGGAGTGTACCAACAGATGGGCGATTACGACAAGGCCCTAGAATACCACGAGATGGATCTCCGAATCTCAGAGTCATCAAACAACAAAGCATGCCAATGTGAGTATCCATAGTTGTAGAGTTCGTACAAAACTTGCCAATATGAGTATCCCTTCAAGGTTATTAGCCAGTAGTCAAGGCCTATCTGTAGATTATAAGGCTTGTGAATGTGAGTACGATATATCAGTAAGTCATTAGTCAAAACAGGATACAAGGCCTGCCAGTATGAATATCTGTAGAGTAACAGTGATTATTAGGTGTGTGAATGTGAGTACCGTATATCAGTAAGTAATTAGTCAAAACAAGATACAAGGCCTGCCAGTATGAATATCTGTAGAGTAACAGTGATTATAAGGTGTGTGAATGTGAGTACCGTATCAGTAGGTCGTTAGTCAAAGAGGATGTATACATTTGTAAGGCCTGCCAGTATGGATACCTAGTCAATAGTGAGTATCTACAAGGCCTGCCAATTTGAGTTCATTTGGTAACCCTCAGAGTACAAGGCCTGCCAATTTGAGTTCATTTGGGAACCCTCAGAGTACAAGGCCTGCCAATTTGAGTACATTTGGTCACCCTCGGAGTACAAGGCCTGCCAATTTGAGTACATTTAGTCACCGAGTACATGGCATGTGAATTTGAGTACCATATCAGTAGGTCATTAGTCAAAACAGGATACATTAAGGCCTGCCAGTATGAATATCTGCTTAGTCAATATTGAGTACAAGGCATGTACAATTAGAGTACCTGTGGTCAACCTCTGAGTACAAGGCATGTGAATTTGAGTACCATCATCAAAGACCTTTACAAGTGATTACAAGGCCTGCAACTCCAAGTACATTCAGTCATCAATATGAATGCAAGTGCATGTGTGTCAGTACTGTTTAGTCAGTATCAGGTACAAGGCCTGCTTATATGAATACCCATAGGTTAAAAGTCAACTAAAGCGAGTTAATGTGAGTACCAGATTGGTAATTGAGTAGTCAAAATAAGGTACAGGTCCTGCTGTTGGGAATACCAATAGTTCAATAGTCCATGATTGCAAGTACAAAGCATGGTAATGCAGGTATCATATCAGTAGGTCAATAGTCAAAACAGGGTAGCTGAAACTACAGAAGTAAAATACACATTCAAGCTGATGGTATTTTGTGTAAACATTTTTTCAGTTGCACAAAATATTTAGAAAACACATATTTCAAATTTCTAGTGAAAGTGTGTGGTGACTTAATTTAAGTGGACATTTAGTCTGATATTGATGTGACGGCAGGTTTGTGTATTACTATCAATGGGAGGTACACATTCATGTCCTTGGACTATACTTATATAAGTTTGTTGTGTCCCCTGGACTGCTGAGGCTGGCCCACCTGTCCTACATACTAACAGTGTGACATCGGGGACCATTGTGTGACGAGAAATCAACACGGGAGATATATAGAAAGTCACACACTGGGGTGTTCAATAATTTTATTTTACAGCCTATCTATGGGTGATGCATCAATAATTATTGCACTGTAACAATAACAGAGAGATTCCACACGCAGATAAAAAGATACGTACATTTACAAAGTGTGGGAATGTAAGCAGATCATCCTTGTACTCAAGATCAATGAAACGTTTGACTTAATAGTAAACAGTTTATTATCAATATTATTTTTTCTTTACAATTCAATGTTTGACTTACCTTACGAGAAAAAAAAAGTTTATTATCAATATATTTTCTTCAAAAATGGGTTTTCATAGATGTAATTAAAACACAGAAGCAGTCATCCAGGCTGACGTGATGTCATGTCGCGGGACTGTGGGAACATCAACATTCGTACAGATAGAAACGAACATGTAACGTCGCATTTGTCCTACACAAGATCTGTGTTGGACACTTAGCTAAGCATCCCTTATAGTATATATAGGAAGCTGTATATGTAGTCTAGAATGGGTTCGGTGTTAGGACACTTTGGTACCAAAGGTAGGCTCTATACAAATTATTTTAAAGAGAATATTGAATTGATTTCGAAGATCAAGCGTTCACATTTTGAACAAGATCGTTTTAAATTGTTGCTGTTTCTGGTTTATGCATACTGGAATTATTTATGGTTGGGTATTAATTTGTCATGATGTCAGTTTAATTGAAAAGTTTAAGGGAATTTTTTAAGTATGCATCAGCATTTTGCAAGTTTGTTAGAAATTATTATAGTTGAATGAAGAAATGCTTGAATACATATATTTATAGAATTAGGCCAAACAAAATCATTATTGTGTTTCTCAAAATTTTGGGATAAATATCATAGGCTGCTAAAGTAACAAAATATGTAGAAATTAACATAAGTCTGTATGTATGATTTGATTTTTTTGCTGGACAGGTCGTGCCTACGGTAACCTTGGGTTATCCCATGAGTCCCTTAGTAACTACAAGGAATCCATTCAGTACCAGGAACAGCATCTCAGCATCGCCGCGGAGATGAATGACAGTGTCGCTAGAACTCTTGCTTACAGTAGTCTAGGTGAGCTGAAATATATATTTTTTACTCTCAAACATACTCTGCAAGATGCATTAATCTACAATAAAATAACAAAAAAGTTGTAGTATTTGCAATGTGAAGTAAAAGGTGGGTTATGTTTTTTGTAAAATCATAAATTTATCAAACTTTGAAAACTGGACGATGTAATTTCACATTCTATACACTGTGTATAGTCAGTAAGAATAATAACATTATCTTTTCTTTTTACTCAAGGTCGTGTGCACCATGCCCTAAACAACCATACAGAGGCTGTAGACTACCTCCGCCAGGGGTTACGCATCGCCGAACAACTGGGCCGCCACGAGGACGAGGCTAAGATTCGACATCGCCTTGGTCTGTCCTTGTGGGGTAAAGGCGATTTGGAGGAGTGTCAACAACAGCTGTACAAAGCTTCGGACCTTTTCGAGAGTATCCGACGCGACTCACAATTCAACAGCGAATACAAAATGTCCTTGTTTGACCTTCAGACAGCATGCTACCAAGCCTTGCAGGTCAGTTCTCCAACAAATTTCATACACAGAAACAGTCTATGGGTCTATAGGCATGATATGATCTAATGTTATATTAATAGGCTGTCATCAATTTTGTTTTTTGACCTTGACCTTGTAATTTGTCTTACTTACAGATAATTTCAACATATAACTAGTCATTTTGTGATAAAATCCCTGTCCAAAAACATTCTACAACAAATGAGAAAGCAGATGCATGTTTTATCCATTTCGACATCAAAGAAATCTTCTGAAGGAAAAACATTAGCACTGTTACTTCTGGAATCCGGGAAAAATAGAATTGCTGATGAAGTCAGAATTCTTTTCAAGCTAAATTAATAAGTACCTCTGTATGCATTGGTACAGCTATAATGAATTAGCCTGTTTTAAATAAAGAACTGTTGAGCAACTTTATGAAGCATTTGGCACGTCCGTTGTACACACGCCGTATACACCCACCGCTGGAAGGAACCGGACAGCAGTTTTACTTAAAATAACCAGAGATTATTGTTCGTAGTAATCATATTTTATGAAGAAATAGGAAGTAATAAGAATTTCATGATAATGTAACTTTGTGTACTTACTGCTAATGACAGCATTCGTTGACGGTGCCAGAACTGTTATTGAATTATATATTATATGAATTTGTTTCAGCTTTGTGTAGACTGTATGAATGTATTGATGATTATACTAATTATTGAAGATAATAGGTCGGAGTAAAAAATTGGGCATCCTTGAAATTACAGCAAGAGCACATGTTTTTATGTTTTGATAGTTTAGAGTTTTACTTGTACCTTGAAAATATGTATAATGCATTTAAAATGTATACTTATTTACTAGTTTTTTTGCCAAATCTCGAATCCTTCAATTGTTTTTGAAACTTTTGGAGTTTGTTTGTCTATTAAAACAATATTAGTTCCAATACATTTATAGTGTGCTTAAATCTTTGTTCCAGAGGGTGCTGGTTTCCCTCGGCCAACACGAGGAGGCGCTGGTGATAGCAGAGCGTGCATGTACGCGGGCTTTCATTGATTACCTACTGGAGCGTCAGGCAGGGTCGGAGGGTCTATACCGAGGTAACGTCGACCCTCCCCCCATCACTACCGACCAGATCGTCAATATCGTCACCAAACAGAAGTCTCTCGTACTCTACTACAGCATTGCTGCCGGCTATCTCTACAGCTGGCTCCTCACGCCAAAACAAGGTACGGCTTGGGAGTGCTATGTTAGGAAATTCTATATACGAAAACTAAAAGAGAATGCCTGGCAACTAGAGTTGCCTTGATTTCAAGAGAATATACTGACACCAGGAAGATTTAGCCCAGTCAGATATTCACCAATCGCCAGAGTTAATTTTTCACTGTTCAAATGTAACTGCATGATAATTCATCCTTTTTGCGGAAAGTAAAAGAATATGAAATTACTGATAATCAGCAGTGAAAATTTCCTGGTAATAACATGTTCATTTACCAGTTACAGCAATTTCCTAGTTTTAGTGAATAACATGTTATTTAAGTAAATAAACACTCTATTTCCTTGTTCAATTTCATTGTAACAGTCGAAAGGTGTACTTTTGAAATCAATTTTGTACCTTTTTTCTGTACGATAATATTTTGTATTACAGGTATCGTGAAGTTCCACGAGGCCAACATGGCTGATCTGGAAAACATTGACGGGGAATCTTTTAGTGATACACTCAGTATGAAGAGCGTCAGTTTCGGGTCATCTTCAGTGCTTGACCAGTACGTAGGTCAAGTCCGCGAGTCCATGGGCATCGACAACTATTCATCAAGGTCAGTGGCTTCATCAACTTTGAATTTACACGAGTTTAAGTTCTAAGGGAGGTAACTCTTCCTAAAAAATTATCAATATTTTTTGTTCTTTTTTTATATTTTATATGGCACTAAAGACACTAAAATGGTATTTTATTTTTGATTATTGTTGTGAGTGTTAACTGGTAAAATAAAGTAGACGTGTGTTGTATTTTTCTCCAGAGCTTCCCTGACATCCAAAGGTGTTGGGCTGATTATTTATCTTACAGGAAACAAATTTGACACTAATATTTTATTTTTATTTTTATTATTGCAATCAGTGTTAACTGTTAAAATAAAGTATATGTGTGTTGTTTTTCTCCAGAGCTTCCCTGACATCTAAAGGTGTGGGTTGTGACTCGGACAGCGAGGGAGACGATGTTTGGCAGCAGCACCTGGAGGAACTCGGTGACAAACTCAATGCCGAAAACGACCGAACAGGGTTCTTACGCATGGTCAATCGTAACCACAAATACAACAGTAGTAACTACAGTCTCAGCAGTCTTTTCAGTCTTTCGGTCAGCATGAACGGACTCAGTGCCAGTTTTCACTCCATGAACCGCAAAAACAGTCTACGCAACAAAACTAGCAATAATACCAAGGCACCGATAAGTGCCTTGTATCAGCTTCTGATTGAGCCCATGGAGGAAGCGCTGACGCAGGCCACGGAGGAGTGGGGAATGGGCCCTGTGGACCTGGTACTCGTCCTCCAGGGGGAGCTTTACCTCATACCCTTCTCTGTCCTCCGAAAGGATCAGACGGAGGAGTACATGTTTGAACGGTTTAATCTGAGCGTTATGCCGTCAGTGACTGCATTACAAAATGCTAAGAAACAAGACAAACAAGGACGCCCCGTAATAGACTCATCTGGTGCAATAGTGGTCGGAAATCCGAAACTGTCCCCGAACTTTACTCAACACTGGCACCTGAAGGAGATTCCAAGTGCAGAATATGAAGCAAGAATTGTGAGCGAGCTCTTGACTTGTCGCCCTCTTATTGGGCGGGACGCGACCAAAGCGGCAGTGCTACATCAGATAGAGCAAGTTGAAGTGGTTCATTTTGCAACTCATCTGTCATGGAAACTTGCCTCCATAGTGCTTTCACCTGGAGATAATATTTCTACTTCCCATAGATTTCCCACAATAGACTCCGACGATAGTTCCAGTGATATAAGTAATTTTGACGGACCTTCTCTGTCCGAGTACCTGCTCACAGCGGCTGACATCCTCAATCTGAAACTCCACGCCAAACTTGTTGTACTGAGCTCAGGTTACACAGACGACAGAGCAGGAAGGATCAATTCCGACGGAGTTGTGGGACTTACAAGAGCTCTTCTGTCAGCTGGAGCTCAGAGTGTGTTATATTCGCTTTGGCCGGTGCCTGACCAGGCTGCCAAACTGTTGATGAGGACAATGTACTCCTCATTACAGGAAGGCCATCAGGTCACCCAGGCCCTGTCAAGCGCCATCAAGTCCGTCCAGTGTACCAAGCAATTCTCCCATCCGTCCAACTGGGGTGGCTGGGTCCTCGTGGGACATGACGTTAAACTCAGCAGTAAAGTTGCCCTCATGGGTCATGCCATTTGTGAAATCCTGCAAGTCCCCACTGCCTGTCGCGAGGCCATGCGAGTCCTCCTCCATCTGGTAAGTTCAGTGTAATTTTTGAGACCAAGATAATATAGCAAGGGAAGCAACTCTTACGCTTGCCTTGTAAAGTTTATACATAGTTAATTAATACAGGCTATCAAATGTGCTGATGTATTGAGGTCATATACTGAAATGTACAAGAAAACGGATGTATCCTAGTGATATAGATATTTTTTTTTAAAACAGTAAAATTTCCTTGCAAAGGAAAATATCAAATAATAAATTTGACCTCAAGGCCTTTTTGCCTACTTGGGCTTATTAAAGAAGTATAGGGCTTGGCAGTCAGTATTTTTTCATGTTTGCTATTTCATTATATACAAGTATATTTACTGAAGACTGAAACATTTTTTCTTTTCTATGAAGGTTTTGTGTTTATATAAATTTAAGTTATAAAAAAAAGAGAGTTCATTGAATGCTTGAATTTTTTCTATAAATCTATGTGAACCATGTTGAAGATATAAAAGAATTCTGAAGTTTCAAAAACAAGTAATTATAAACTGGTAATTAACCACTTCAAAGAACTCAAGTCTGCATGTTTGTAATTTTTTGAGTTTACTTTTATTAACTTTTACCTTTTCATCATACAGATTGAAAAATCGCTCCAGAGAATTCACCAGGGTATAAAGAACTCCATGTACACAACTAGCCAATCGATCGAGAACAAGGTCGGTGCTATCCCCGGCTGGAAGGACCTGCTCCAGGCTGTGGGTTTCCGGTTCGAGTCTGCCAGTAATGGACTACCCCCTGCAGTGTTCTTCCCTCAGACTGACCCAGGAGACAGACTCACACAGGCCAGTGCAAGTCTTCAGGCTCTTCTAGGTATGTTTTCATAGCAACAGGTTCTTCTAGGTATGTTGTCATAGCAACAGGTTCTTCTAGGTATGTTGTCATAGCAACAGGCTCTTCTAGGTATGTTGTCATATAGCAACAGGCTCTTCTAGGTATGTTGTCATTATAGCAACAGGTTCTTCTAGGTATATTGTCATAGCAACAGGGTCTGCTAGCTATGTTGTCATATAGCAACAGGCTCTTCTAGGTATGTTGTCATAGCTCCAGGGAGCGTTTGGTTTAAGAACTATGCTTGACAATCATTTGTATTAGTTCTGTTCATTTCTAATGTATATACCACTTACCATGAGAATGTACATAACTTAGTCCTACTAGTCCATACATTGAATTTTAAGATGAAGATGTGTCTGCCATTGACAACAAATGTGATGCATTACATTTATAAAAAGTTTCATTTTTAAAAAAAATGGAAAAAAACAAGTTAAATAAAAAATGCATATATCTAAAAATAAATCTGGATGCAAATTTTTCTCAATCTGACATTATGAAGCTAAAACTGTTAATAATATCAAAAAGACAAATTATGGTGCAGTTTTTAATGTGTTCATGGACATGATGATTCTTTACAGGACTACCTCCCAGCTCTCTGGCAGCTTTATCCAAGTTCTTATCTAATTACGAAGCAGGAGAGGCCAACATCCGAGTGGTAGGTCACATGACACTTCCGTTATATGGTCGATTCGGTTTATCTCATAAATAAAGTCTCATTGAACTTCAATTAACCCTTAACTACCATATTTTCATATGGCAGGGACTATTCTAATATAAAAGATGTTTGCAAGATATTTTATTGGACTTAATGTTTTTCCGAATTTTACATTTAAATTTAGGTGTCTGAGTTAGTTTTTTGTGATGATTCTTGTACGTTTTTTAAAGTGATAATAAAGAGAAATTTCACAAAAGACATATTTCATGAATTTGTTCATTTCCTTTTAAAGATGAGAGATATACTTAGCAAGATGGCCGCCAAGGAAAGCAACATTGATGTACAGATAAATGTGAAGCTATGGGGAGTACCAGGTTGTCACGAGTTCCTGGCGTCTCTAGGTATGTAATGCGGGCTACAGGGACAGTTAGTAACACACATAACTTTGTTCAGAATACACAGATTTTTAGATTATACAGGTTTTATTAACAAAGACATTATTTCCGTTGAGCCTTGCTGAATGTCTTGTACAGGCTGAAGGGTTTTACACAGGGTCTAATAACATAGAAATGTATGTAACCAAATTATAACTTTTTTATTTTCATTATAATTATGAAACAAGTTGTATAACCTTATAAAGGAAGAATTCTCATTGGCCTAGATGGTAGCGCACAGGAGGTCTGAATGGTGCAGTTATGTGATACAGTTACCTAACAGAGAGTCTGATAGAGGTGTGAAAATTTTACAGATTTATGCTTAGACATATAACAATACATTTGTTGAAAAAGTGCTTCATCAGCATATCAAAAAGCATTTTAAGATAGATCAATAGATATAAGACATTGTAAGTTGATTTCTGATGGTAATATAAAACAGTCCTACTTGTAACTTAATGTTCTATGGCTTGGTGTATTTACAGGACTTGACCTTGTGGAAGTCGGTCAGGATGAGGTTACCCTCCGTTTAGGGAAGCAAGCAAACAGACGACAGCTACAGTTCGCTTTACAGAGTCTGGTCGCTGTTTTCGGTGAGTCACTGAGAGAAAAAAACTGAATAACAAATTAATTGTTTAAAGAATTTAGAGAACTTTTAACAGGTCTAACCAAGTCTTATTCAGTGTTTGCTGATAATGCAAGAAAAATAAGAAAACATCAAGTGACAAATTAATTATCCAGACATGTTTTCATTAATAAAACAATTTTGGAAGTAAAACAATGTATTAATTGCAACAAATTAATAACTTTCAATATTTCTCCAAATAATGAAATATGGTTGGTAGATGACCTTGAAGGGTTAACATCCATTTGACCTTGACCTTGTTTGTTTTCAGACACTCAGGAGGCCCCCAAGTCTCTGTCGGTGGACAGCTCCAGCAGTCTGGAGAGTCTGTCCTCATCACACAGCGGATCCACCTCAACCTCTAACTTCTCCAAGGGCAGCACCCCACCCATCTCACCGCGGGGCTCACGCAAAAAGTCACTCTTCAATCCAGCCGAGATGGAGAAGATGAGGATTATGAACAAGATGCAGCTCATGAATCAGGTAAGAGAGAAGAAATTTCAAAGCATGGGCTTCATTTGTCTTTTACTTGATGTATAGACGATCACCTGTTGATAATCATGAACTTGACATTATCTGTATGCCCCCCTCCGCCATTTTATTTGGAGGAATATGATGTAACCCATGTCCGTTCTGTTGTGGCCGATTGCATCCTATTCTGTCATATCACTATTCATTGTCATGATCCGGTCAATAACAGATTTTCATCAAAATTTAAAAAAAAAATGTCAAGTATGAGAATGTCTCGGATGTGTTTATGCTGTATGCAGGAAAATGTTCGTCTTTCACCAGTAAAGTTGAATCCATGTCCACCCAGTATTAATTTCGCCCTTAACATGTAATAGCATATTTGGTATGCTGTCTGCTTATATTCGCTGTCATGATAAATTCCCCCCTATTGCAGAGGGTGAAAAAGGCTAGACTTTAACTGTGGCAAACATTTCCCAGTAAACAGTATTTTAGGGTTCAAAGGACAACATCAAGGTCACTATTACTATTTATTGGTCAATCCCGGTGGTCAAAGGTGAATTTTTGTCTCACAAACTTTTCAAATTTTGTAATATAGGCATGGAATCATTGTCATTTCATTACGTTCTTAAGAAGACTAGTAACTTATTATCTAATTTTTTTTAAAATCATCATGAAAGACTTTTTTATTCAGCACCAAATCTTTATAAATTTATTTAAATCATCTTTAAACATTTTGATTTTTTCGCAGAGAATTATTTTATGAAAATCAGACTGAACGTGTGTGCTTTTATAGTTAAAGGAATCACTTTTTTTCTGTGTTTTAGGGTGGATTGTCTGGCCGACAGGTTTACAGAAAAGCGAAGAAGGCCAACGTATCTGACCCTGCCATGAATCTCCAACACCAGAGCCGTGTCCGCAACATGTATCCCCCGGGGTCAAGCTCGAACATGAACCTGATGGCCGACATGAATGGTATCCAGGAGATAAGTGAGAACAGTGAAAGTGATGTAGATGGACGCGACAGCTGGGACAATAGGATGCAGGTGTCAACAAACTCCGAGAGTGAGAGCAGCACACTTCCCGAACTTCGGACAAATTCCGAGTCGGACAACCAGATTCCCGGAGCTGATCAGTATCAACTTACGGAGGGAAAGGAAACAAGTCCTGATCTCACGACTGAAGAATATTCTTTGAGTAGACAAACCAGTCATCAGAGTGAGACGTATTCGTTCGATAGAGCAGACGATGTACGGATGTCGGCCATGTCCTACACAAGTAACTTAAGTGAGGATTCGGCCCTGTTAGAGGACCAGAAGAGGAATTCTTACTCGGATAGTAGTCAGGCAGACGACATGTTCCAAAGGCACGATGGAACTCGACAGTCAGATATGTCCGACACAAGTGGAATAAGTGATCAGTTCATGCCTTCTCAAAACATGAACAAAAATTTACCTCTGATGTCATCACAGCTCGACCACACGTTAATGTCAAGTGAATCGGGGATTAACTCGGAGGTGACGTCCTCAAATCAGAGCGACACAAGTCAGCAAAGCATGGACGCTACAAGCTCGCAGTTAGACCCTCACGAGGTCGCAATGAAGGTTATGAAAGACCTCGGCCCACAGAAGGGCATTCTTGAAGGATTACAAATGCAGAGTTTTCTTGCATCTCAGTCTAACACTCGTTTCATGCGACAGCAGTTTCAGAATTCTTCACAAATCAGTGCGTTTACTAAACCTTCTACTGTACAGGACCAAACATCAGGTGATACTCACAGTACTAAGGATGTGCATAGCTCTTCTACGCCTCAGGTACGACCTCAGACAGCACCGAGGCCTAACAAAGTACCGCCCCCTGTCCCCTCCAAACCTAAGGTACTGCCAAAGTCTAACTCTATAGCAAATATCCAGGAGGATAATTCTAATCAAAACAGTCCAACCCGAGCTAGTTATTATAGTATGCAGTCCCTGAAAGGCATATCTGAGAACGACCTTTCCGTGAGTCAGCAATCTTCCAGCATGGACGACAATGACATTTCCTATGTTGTCACAAGGAGAACGGTTCCCGGTAACGGCATGTCAGATTTGGGTCACAAGAGCATGCCAGATTTACGGAAGTCATCTAAAACAGGGGGCAGCACTGGTAATCCCTACTCAGCCAATCAAATGAGCTTCAGTAGTTTTAAGCCTAAAGCTGCATCTTCCAAGAGGAATGTGAATAATGGCGTGGCAGGTGTGGCCATGCGGCCGGACAGTGCCACCAGTACGAGTAGTCTTTGTTCTACCGGCTCGTCTGTCCAGTCGGTCATTCACCGGCCGTACTTTAATTCTGTACCTGACCTCAATGGAATGTTCCAGAAACGGTCTGGTGAGTCGGGTGTGAACACTGCCGTAGAGGGTGACACAAACTTTAGTCGGAGGAGTCCCACGGGATTGCCCCCGCCATACAGTCAGGCAGTTAGGACAGCCCAGCTTCTTAGAGGGCGAAGTCCAACACAGCATAATACGTACAATTCAAATAGTCGCAGCTCTACCCCTACTGGGGGTTCACGTACCAGTCCGGACAGTCTGGGGTCATCTCAGGGGAGTGGTCAGTATCATCAGCCTGATAGTCCAGTGTCTCTGGCCAGTGGTCAATATCATAGCGGGTTTAGTACCTCAACACCCTCAAACCCTGGCCAGAGTATCAAAGGTGTACCCTCACAGTTTGAGCAGCAGTACAATGTAGGAGTCAATGATAATCGCTACACAGGCCAGTACGTGGACTCCAAACCTGGCACTCTTCCACTGCAGCCTCAGACTTCTTCCACACCGAACTCTATTTCTCAGTCCTCACAGCCAACGGGCTACTATTCCAGTGCACCGACAACACCAGGGACACCAGAACGTGATGATGTGTTCCTCCACGCAAGTAGCGGTTGTAACGTGACCTCTATTCCAACTCAAGGTCACATGTACCAACACTCGAGCAGCAGTACATCATCCTCGGTTTCACAACACAACCAGTACTACCAGTCAGGCAGCCCGGTGGCCTCCACAGCATCGGGAGGAGGGAGTCCATTCCCTCAGTCCGCCAGTCCCACATCATCAACTGCCTCCCGTAACAGTCCCTACCAGCACATGTCAACAGGCAGGAGGACCAAATCCATTCTCAACAGTTCGCCAGCCTCTGCAAGGGCTACCAGTAAAAAGAGACCTCATAAACGTGTCAGCTTCTCGGATTCTGAACCCAGTGACCTTGAGGGCAACTCCCCTCACCCCTACCGTCCAATCAAATCAGGCCCTGTCCCAGTGAAGGGCGTTGTTAAGTTGAACATGAGTGACTTCAAAATGCCAAATTATCGTAGTCGACAGCATCAGAACGGTGGCGTACCTAAAGGGGCTGGTCCCCATAGTAACGGCTATGTCTCCCAGGGCTCTTTCTACCCCAATGGCAGTGTGCCCAAACAGGGCCCTGTTGCCAATGGTCACGCAGGTCAAGGTCAGACGTCAGTTTTCAGTAGAAAGAGTGTGAATCCTTCCCCCAATAATGATAGTGTGAACGGACCTATAGGGCTTAAGGACTTGTCCAAGTCCTCAACCCAAGGGGGACAACTCCCTGGGAGGAGTTTCTTTGGGAGGGATAATAATCGACCAATCAGAAGAACTCAAGTTGTGCAGTCGTCAAAGTGCTGATATTTCTTGTGCATTGTTTTCTGTATAATTGTATGCAAGGGAGCTATAACAAAACGCAATTCAAATGACATCATTTCATCTTTCTTATTTTTCACGCCATGAATATAACGTCAGATCATGAATCATCAATTATCAAACAAAACCTCTCCAATACGGCCTGCAGACTTTTATTGGGATTATTGAAACGTTAACATTTTTATTCGTCATTGGATAGTAACCTTTTAGTTTGAAATGATATTTGAATGTTTTCCTTGTCTGTTTTTATTTGTGAAAAGAGAATAACATTTTTTATTTTGCATGAAATAGAATTCAATATTTGACTGTTTTTGTGTACGAAGTTGAGTGTATATTGATGTAGATATGTAATTGTGTATATATGTAAGAATATATTTTGTATATAGAAAATTGAAATGAATGCCTCTTTGTGCCAAACTTACCATTTATATCCAGAGAATATGACTTGGTAGATATTATAACAGTAATTATGTCGGTATGTATATCGTATCATTTTCATTTTTATTGGTGAAATTTTTAAAAGAAATTTTTATTTGTCATTATATTCTTATATTGCAGTGTAGACAAACTTAACGTTGAAAACTATTTTTCATCAAAAAGTTTTGGGACAAAATTAATATAAGGTAAATAATGTTTTTAATTCCAAATCTACTGTTTATTTTATGTTTGAGGTCTAAAAAGGTAAATAATTTATGTTGTGATTCAAGACAGATTTGATTATAACAGACTCCACACTTAACTCCTTCACCCCAGAAGACATATTTGAACTCTTCCAATTCAAAGGTGAATGAGTTAAGCCTGAGTTCTGTGCCGAGTTGTTCAAACCCAAAGTAGTTTAGGAAGAACATAATGAAATATTTTTACTTGTTTATTTTTAGAAATATTCAAATTCAAAACTTAAGTTGTTTGTGTAAAGTTTCAAAATGGTTATATTATGACTTTCTAGAAGGTTCTCTTGAATCAAATTTTGAACAATTGAATTAACGCCTCGTTAAGCTAACCAGACTTTGATTACCTCGACCCTGATGAAAGCTTAACGGTGTCCAAGAAACAATAATGTTTATGCATAATAATTCAACTATTCACCCCCTTTTGTAAGCACATGATGTAGGACACAGGTATTGGGTCTATATAATGGTAAAAGGATGAGGTAGTTATTTATGTTCTGACCAGGTGTCTTTCAAGTTATTTACAGGTGTGAATGGTACAGGGAATAGATTATAACTGAGATCACGAACAAATTACATATACAAGCAATATACAGAGATTGTAGATATATATATAGAGAGAGAGAGACAACATCTCATTTACATAATTGGTAACATTTATTTATTAATAGTGAACTGATCACCTACACGGCAACAACAGTGTGTTTTACCACAAGCAGTAAAACCTTGTTATATTGCTATCATTTTGATATTATTAAGGGGTTCGGTAGTTAATTGAGAGAGATATATTAAGGAATTGTTAAGGGGAAAAAACGGAAATTATACCTTAACCCTTTCAACACTGTACACCATAATGGACTCATCCAGATCAATTTATGGTAGAGGTTATTAAAGTTACATAGGGGTGAAAGGGTTAAAATATGTTTGCAGTAAGAAATATTAAGGAATTGTTAAGGAAAAAACCCGGAAAAGGAGACCTTAACCCTTTCAACACCATACACCATAATGGACTCATCCAGATCAATTAATGGTAGAGGTTATTAAAGTTACATAGGGGTGAAAGGGTTAAAATATGTTTGCAGTAAGAAATATTAATGAATTGTTAAGGAAAAAACACGGAAAAGGAGACCTTAACCCTTTCAACACCGTACACCATAATGGACTCATCCAGATCAATTTATGGTAGAGGCTATTAAAGTTACATAGGGGTGAAAGGGTTAAAATATGTTTGCAGTAAGAAATATTTATGAATTGTTAAGGGGAAAAAACGGAAAATGATACCTTAACCCTTTCAACACTGTACACCATAATGGACTCATCCATATCAATCGATGGTAGAGGTTATTAAAGTTACATAGGGGTGAAAGGGTTAAAATATGTTTGCAGTAAGAAAGATGGCAAATGAAGTGAGGGGCGTTATATCAAGGTTTTATTGTCATATATCAAAGTCTATTATATATATAAAATAAAAACTCATTATACTGCCACCATTTGGCCAACACAACTTTGGCATTATAAAGAGGTTTAGTGATATACCGACCAATATAGAAAGGAATGTCAGGAAAAGAAAATAATTGATATATTTTAGCAGTAAGCAAGGTGGAAAATGAAAAAAGGGGGATTATATCAAGGTTTTACTGCTGATATTTTATTGAGTTAAAATACTTAATATATACCAAGTAACAATTGAGGATGTGTGTTCAACATTTAATGCCTAGTTCATAGGATATGACTATTTCATGTTTAATCAAGATCAAGAAAAAACTGGTAATTTTTTTATGTACCTGCAATATATCTTTCACTACCTTGACATGGAATAACCAATCTAACTAGATCACCAGCATGTGAGATCTTTTATAAGTTAAAATGCAGGAGAAATTGCATGTATAAATAAAACAAAATTAAATAATAGTCTAGGACAATAAATAAATTTTCGATATTTGAATGCACTGGTGTAAATGCATCTAGAAAGATGATACATGGTCTTATCTCCAGAAAGGAATCTATGATTAACCCTTTCACCCCTGTGAAACTTTAGTCGACTCTCCCATGCATGGATCTGGATGAGTTCATTATGGTGTACAGTGGTGAAAGGGTTGATACTAGTATTTGGGGATATAACTTATTCAAATTTTACGTAATTTAAGTCATTTCATTTTTATTGTTACTCATAAACAATAAGATGAAAGAGGAATAAATCAAAATGTTATAAGTTATAGCAGTCAGCAGTACATTATTTATTGCAAGACAACTTCATGGTGACCTCTCCATCAAAACATTTAACATTGTCATTTAACTGTTTTTCACAGTTACCATAGTTAAACTCTGGAATTTTAATTATAAATTAACAAACATCCTTCTTACGTTTCTCATGTCAAACTAAAACATTTTTATTTATGTCCATGAAAACCAATAACAAAGTGTTCAGAAAATATTTAATGTTTTAATATTGTCCATGCCTATAAACCTAGTATATCCTAACTTATTGTAGTAGTCCCGTCCCACCTTTGATTTGGGTTATACCATGTAGATGTTTAGAGAGGTAAGGGTTAGGTTGATCTGTCAGTTACAGAGAATTACTGTTGGATATATATTGTTTTCTACTCTCTACAGTGTAAATATTGTGTCTACCTAACTTTATTGGAGCTATGCATTCTAGAATATTTTATACAATATACTATAAATATATATATATCTATATAATACACTTTCAGTGGTTCTGTGAACCACATGGAGGATTTCAAAACTTCCTGTCTGAAGGAAGACGACAAAATAAAATAATACAAATAAATCAATGTTTTAAGTTTTTTTATTCATTTCAGACGAATTTACACATCTTGTGGAGATTGGGTTGCCGTTTTGAGTTACAATGTAGATAAATAATTTGTAGTAGATTCTGTTCAGCAAAATGCCAGAAACTCTCTGAAAAGTATCATCATTGTCAACATTTTAAAAGTAGAACTTTTTTTCAAACTATATCGACAGGGTTTTGGTATTGAATAAGAAATTTTCAGTACTACATTCTCAAGCTCAGAGACCTGTAAAGCCAGAGAGATTGGCAACTCACACAAATCTGCAAGAGCATGCATGACAGTATTGTTATGGGAGATCCGCCGCATGTTGTAGGATATACGTCTCTGACAAACTTTAACCAGTCCGAACATGTTATTACATCATTTGCTGCCTATAACAATGGTTATATGTTAAAAACGTGGCGGCCTCAGTTTCACCATATTGTTATTAGGTCACCTGAGACAAAGTCTCAAGTGACCTATTGCGATCGCCTTTTGTCCGTCGTCGTCCGTCGTTCATCGTCCGTCGTCCGTCGTGCGTCCGTAAACAATTTACATTTTCGACTTCTTCTCCAAAACCACTGAACCAATTTCACTGAAATTTTGCAGGAACCTTCCATGGACAAAGATCAACAAAAATAGTTGCCGGTTTAGTCCTAAGCCCCCAGGGGCCTGAGGGGCGGGGCCAAAAAGGGTCAAATTGACTAAAATTTCAAAAATCTTCTTCTCAAGACCCAGATATGGTAGAATCAAATACTCTTCATAGATGGAAGGGTCTTAAGGTGCTTTACAAAAATTGTGAATTTCTTGACCCTGGGGTCTCACGTTTTCCCCTGGGGAGGGGGTAAACTTTACTATAGTTTATATAGGGAAATCACATTTTGGACCAACATTTGTTTAATTTCCATTGGAAGTAATTCAATTT